AAAGATATAGTAAACCCCGATATAATGAACTCTCAAGGGATTAAACCATTCACTATATCGAGAGTCCACTGTAATTCGAATTATATACGATAAGATTTTTATTTATAAGTTAATAATAAAAATAATAAAAAATTTCATATTTTACGAATATTTTAAATAGTTAAAAATAACCTTTAATATAATAGCCTATTTAAATAATATATTTTATAATTATTATTCAGTAACTTCTTTTTATATATTTATAGAAAGAAAATTAATATAAATTGTTGATCTTTTTCCAGATAAATTATTATTATTTTGTATTATAAACAGGGCTGTGGAGTCGGAGTCGGAGTTGTGGAGTTTTGGTATTTTATCCGGAGTCGGAGTCGTCAAAAAATCCGCCGACTCCGACTTCTTTTTACTTCCCAACTTCTTATGTGTATAAAACGGAAAAGTATTGGAATTGTGTCAAATTGACCCTCCAGGATTTTTTTGCAAACGTTTGGAGACTGCTCGAACCCCTCAAAAAGTCAATAAAAATTCAGAAGAAAAATTCGCGTGCGTGTATGTGTTGGCGTCTAATTTGTTTAACTTCTTTATTTTCTGTTATGAGATATTAATTAAACAATATCTCAGAATGGGTAAAGTTTAAGAAACGAAATGTGGCACTGTGGCTTGCTTATAAAGGGGCATTAATAGGCCTACTATTAAATTTTGGTTCTTAATTAAAGGTCGACAGGGTGAAGACATAAAAGTGGTCATGTGTCATATCTCTTAATGAATATTTTACACGTTGTTCGCGTTCAAACTTTTAAAAAAAATAAAATAAAATAAAATTTGTCGCTACTCTCAAAGTAAGCTTTTTTGTCATTTTATAATAGTACAGTAAAACCCGTTAAGATGTTTTCCTCTAAGATGTTAGAATGAGTATGGGGACATGATTTAGTTCAACCACTTTGACGCTTAATAATTAACTCCTGTGTTAAACTATCTGACTCCGATTCCAACCACTCTGACCACAGAAATTATTAGGCTTCAAACAGGGTGAACAAAATCATGCCCCCCCCACACACAGTCTAACATATAGAAAAATACCTCGAATCTTTTGCATATCTCGAAATTTCAAGGTGTCCCGAGTCCAAAAATGTAAAAATTTGGAAAGGGTCATTTTTTTGACCGAGCGCTATACTTTCCCTCTGTTATATATAACAGCCGGAAAAGTAAAAGTTATCGAGTACATATTTAGCCTATATATTACTTAGAGAAGTCTTTTAGCTTTGGAATAAAAAGTTTCTACGTTATATCTTTATTAGAACTCTATTTATTGAATCTTTTATTCTGAGGTCACGTGATGACATCAGAATTTCCGGGTCTCTTTCGGTAACAAGTCCGCCCCTGGTCGGAGTCGGAGTCGGAGTCGAAGTTGGAGTCGGTAGATTTTTACACGACTCCACACCCCTGATTATAAACCTAAAAACTTTTGCTTTATTTTATCAAATAATTTCAGAATAAATTCAATTTTAAAGTTACATTTTATAAAATTTAATTAAAAAATAATAATAAAATTTATTTATTTTTCTATTCACTAATATATGGGAGCGTTTAAAATTCATTTAACCGAATTAGATGACTTTCTTATAGCTCGGTTAACTGATTTTTGGGCCAACTCGTACATTAATGGAAAGAACAAATATACAAATAAAATTTTTCTTTCACTCATTAATGCATAGAATGGCCCGAAATGTCAGTTAACCGCATTACATAAATATCAGTTAATTCGGTTAACTGACTTGTAAGTCACACACTATGCAGTCAGTGAATAAAAGAAAAATTTTTTTTGTTTACTTCGTCTTTCCATTAATGCAGGAGTTGGCCCATAAATCAGATAACCACGCTATAAGAAAGTCAGTTTATTCTGTTAATTAATTTTTACCCATATATTAATGAGTAGAAGAAATAAACTTTATTTTTTTTATTTAATTTTATAAAATGTATTTATAAAATTTATTTTCTGCCATTTTTGTGTATTAAAACGAATAAAATAGTAAAAAATAATAATATAAGGCGTGATTCGAAAGTAAGTTAACCGAATCAAGAGACTTTCTTATATCTTGGTTAACTGAGTATTGGGCCACCCCAATATATTTATGTATTTAATTACTAGTTTTATTGTTTTTTTTAATATAAAAAACTCATTTAAACTTAATTGATTGCAATAATAAAATTTAATTATATGGTGTTACGTT